ATAGATATTTCATTACTTAATATGATATTAGTGGATACACGTCTAAGTAGACGCTCCATTTTTTGGGGGGGGGGGGGATAACTGTGAATTTCATCCACCAGCTTGTGCATAATGAGAGGCTTAATAAAGAAAGCATGCACTTGGCAGAATTCAAACCTGTGTTGCCCTTTGAAATGATTGACTGATTCATTCATTTTCTACGTCTTCTCAACCCTTTGCAGATTATTTTAAAGCCAGAAAATATCTTTATTTTTAGACTGTAAAAAATTTATGGGGAGATAATAATGATTTAGTGATACAAGTTTGATTAATCCACAACTCATGTATCCTCCCCAGAAGTATTTGCATGTAAGTGTATATGATGAAGCAAACTAGAATTGGAACTTGGCTCTCTGATTAACAATTCCAAGCCATTATTCATTACACCACCCCGTCATATCTAAGCTTACAGCATCTGGTATTCCCAATTGGTCACCCATCTAGGTACTGACCAGGCTCAATGTTTCAATGTGATGTGGCCATATGCTTTAGACAACTTGGCTGCAGAAGAATTCACAGCCTAGTAAGATTCAATTACGTCTTTCAAGGCTGTGAAGCTCTCTATGGCCAAAGGCATGTCAAATTATATGGTCGTTTCCCCTTCAAAGAGGAAACCGAACACTTTTGGAGTGCACATTTTTTTTGTTAAGCCTCTATGTACAAGTATCCACTTAAATATAATGTTTAAGTAAGAAATAATGTCAGATTAAAAATAAAATCCATTTTAATTCCTTAGAGAAATATATGATACAATATTAACGAAATAATAAAAGAATGTATGAATTTTTAAAATTTTAAAAATGTTTTGTTTTTTAGCTCATACATTCCTTTTTCTACTGGTAAATTCCACAAAATCAAAATTAAATGAAGTAACTATTAGTTCAAAGGCCATATCTAAATTTAGACCAAATCTTTCTGAACTCAAGATTGCAATAGTTCATTTACCTAGAAAAAAAACTTTCTATATTTTTAATTTTCACTTTTTTATTAATATTAGCACACAATATTTTCATGTTACTTATAAACATTTGTAAAAAAAAAAAATGGACACAAAAAACAATTTATAATAAATAAACAGTAAAACACTAAAACAATGAAGTTTTTTGAGTAAAAAAAAAAAACTGTAAGTAAAGAAAACAATGACGGAGTTCAATAAGAAATAAATCTACAAATAGATTACTTTATCAAAATCTAGTAAAAGAAATAACTAACGATCCTTATTTCTAAGTTTTGATCAAAATGTTTCACTGAACAAGTGAAATAATTTCAAGAGAAATGTCTGCTACCATTGCGAATCAATGTCAAATCATTTCAGCAGAATCAGTAAAACGCAAACAGAAACGGCCATTATTCCCTGTGCCAATTCTGCTAGTGTTCATTCCAACATTGTATCATGAATCCATCAAGGTAAGCTTTGATGCCATCACCCACAAGGGTTTAAAAAAACAAACAAACAAAAGAAAGCATGTTTCAAGAAAGAAAAAGAAGCAACACTTGCTAATTTGGGAGGTCTCAGGTAATGAAACTCAATATGGTTCTTTTAGAGAATGTAAGTAAAACAACAAAAAAAACTAACTGGTAATGCTGATGAGCCAATTTGTTTTTTTGTAAGTCGTCTTGGAGGCAAGATGGATTCGCTCGTGGAGCAGGCATCCATTGGGACGAACATGGCGGAAATTCACAGATCATGCAGTAAGTGACCTCGTTTGACGAGAGAATTACTGCAGGAAGGAAATGCATCTTTAGATTTGTAGTACCTGGTGAGAAATTTGGTGGGCAGATTTTAAAAGCTATCCTCGGTACTAATAGAATTAATTATTTCCTCATCCATTTTTTTTACAAAAAGAACAAACAGATTTTTCCAGAAATAAACTTTTTCTTCAAAAATAATATGAAAGAAGAAAGAGACAAAAACAACAAAAAAAATGACTTATCAACAATTATTCTTTTTCCCTTTTTAGCGAAACAAAAAAAAAAAAAGATCGTTGTGCTTTTTTAAGAATAATAATAAAATTTAAAAATGAAAAAAGTTTTTTTTATGTATCATTTTTAAAAAAATTTTTAAATTTTGCTACTCCATAATAATATTTTTTTAAAAAACAATGTCGATCTCAACTCAAATATAAACAAAAAAATAAATACAAGGATAAAAAAATTAAATTACAAAGTTTGGAAAACTAAAATAAATAATTACACTATCAAAGCAATAATAAAATAAATCTACCAAAAAATAAAATAAACGTTTATAAGCTGATCACAAAAAAAGTGGAAGCTAAACTAAAATAAAATCACTTTGTTATGAAATCAAAACTCAATCAGTTCCGTTTTAAAACGATGTCTCATGACCATTTGAAAAAAAAATAATTCTAAGAAATGGATATCTGAAGAATTAGTAACTAACTAAAAAATATCATTAAATTGTTATTTATAACAGCAAGTACATTATTCTGAAGTATTTTTTTTTTTTTCACTCAGGCTGTGAGGTAGCCTAAAAAATACATCTATTTTAAATTGATGATGATACGGTTATCATGTTTCAGTCAATTAAAAAAACAGATTGCATCCTCGCAGGAAAAGAATTTGCATTTGAATAGGTAATTAAATAATAAACAGTACCAAAAAATAGAATAAAGAACTAAAAAGCCATTTTCCAAATATTCTACGATTTTTCTTAAAAATCAGATGCATATGTACAAACACTTTTTAACTTAACTTAAACATATGAACATTACGAAAGCTTTAAGCTAAACTTTTTTGTTGCAATGTTTTAATTAGAAAATAAAAGAAAGGTAAACAATGAAATGTATTTTCCGGTAGATTTTTTTTTATTCGTGTTCTATTTTTTTTTTTTTTACACATTTTTATACATTATTGTTGTTTAATCAAGGAAATTAAAACAGTTAAAAAGCCTAAAAATAATAAAATAAATGGATTCCGGTGTAGATTAATTTATAAAAAAAAAAAACAAAGAACAATGATTTAGTTAACAGTTTCTCCGCTAAGTTATTTCTCATTAATTTACAAATAAATCTAACTTAAAGTGCAAGAATAAACGTAATATTATCGATTGATCGTCGTCCATAACAATAAATTTAAACTTGAGTAGAGATCAGTGAAGAATTTCACCCGTCACCGATTATTGTGTAATAATGAATGTCGTAAAATCAACTCATCAGTTGCGAAATAAATAAGTAAACAAAAAAGAATGAAAATTCCGTATTCATTAAACCCTAAATATAGATAATAAAAGATATATAAGGTATTCGGAAAATATCTCCTTTTAAAATAAATGTTAGGTACTTCATGCTGTATGGATGTAGTAATAATAAACTCATAATAAGTCATGAGTACGTTCTATAACGTAGCCAGTGCACATGTCCGTAGTAATAATAATAGAGAGATGAGGAGAAAAGAATAAAGCTAACATTTAAAACATTATTTATTTCGACACAATTTAATGGCTTCAAATTTAAATGTGTGCATTAATTAGAAGGAGGGACGATCAAACATACAAATGAAACATCAAGAAACAAGGGGGAAAAAATTGAATGAAATTGAAACGATCGATCCGAGGTTGTAAGAAATAGAAATGATAGGAAATTCATGGATCTTACATTCAATGGAGGGAAAAGGGTTTTTTATTGTTGTCATGATTTCAAAAGATTTCTACTATAAAGAAAGAGCCTCACCAACCCTACATTGAAGACAGAAGATGAAAATATCCACTAATTTAAAAAAAATGAAGAGGCTGAATTATGCATTTATTTTAAAATATTTTTAAATTAATAATTTAATTATCTTGAACAAGCAAAGCAAATTGTCATATTTATTATAATTTTTAAAAATATTAGAGAGCGATTATTTAATATTTAAACGAATTAGATTTTAATGAAAAAACGAAACAAAAATAGTTGTTTTTGTTTACATGTAGAGAGTCATGTCTTTGAGAGAAAAAAAAAGATCATGATTTTTCCCCTTTTCAAAAAATCATACAAAGTATAATTTTCCATTTTTAATAATTTTACCAAACTAATAAATTATAATTTGCAAAAGAACGTCACTTTTCTTTTCAGGTATGTACTTAAAAAACTATTCCTCAAAAATAACAAACTGAAATCTCTAACTGAAAACTAAAAGTAAATAAAAAAAAAAAAAAAAAAGGGTTAGATATCGAACCCTTATCCTCATAAAGAAATACCTGTCCCATAATGGTTGCTACATTTGCTGTCACATTTCAAACATCAAATGTAACAACTATTGTGGGACAGGTTTGACAAGGTGGTAAACCACGTGGTCATCGCAGATGCGACAAACAAGATGACATTGCTAATATTAGAAAAGACTTTTTTCTGTTTATTTTAAGCGATTTAATCTGGAGCATCACCAATCTGATACTTGACATTTTTTTAAATTTTAAAAGAAAGTTTTATTTATATTTTTTAACTTTTTAAATTATTAAATGCCGTCAATACAAATGCTTTCTTCGATGTATTCATTTACTGATTTTTGTTTGGTGAAGTGTGAACGAGGAAAAGATAGCAAAAGGTACCAGTGGGAAAAAAATGTCAAGCTAAAACTTCGGATTGCTAAGTGTCCGTTAACCAGCAACTTATTTTTTTTTTTTTAGAAAATTTAAAAGATTTTTTTTACATTTGTATTTACAACGAAAAGTAATCTGCTTCCATTTTTTTTTAAACTGCCAGGTAAAAAAAAAATTTCGTCTTTTAAATAATTACAGGAAAGTAATATATAAATAAAAATCTTTTTCCTTCCGTTGTCTTTCTTCAGGTAGAAAATAATTTTTTAAAAATAAAATAAAAAAGGCGTGTGATCAACATCGGAGCCAGTGGCGTTGTAGCATCCGGGTACTTTGCACGACAAATGTCAGCCACTGACCTGATCTAAAAAAAAAAGAAAAAAAAAAAGGCGCCTTAAAAATTTCAAAGTATCTTTTTACTTACCATCTTGTGCGTGCTGCAGCTACACTATTAAGAGCGGCAGCGCGATTACTGTCAGGAAGGCGATATCGACATTTTCTTTTGGGTTTCCACAGCTCCACACAAAAAAAAACAACGCAAAAAAATAAATAAATACCACGAGTTAAAAATTCGCCTCTAATACGATCGACGGCATTTTTGTATTTCGGCACTTTTCTTCCGTTCAACCATGATTCTCTTTCATACACACTTTTGGGGGTTTGCACTTTCGTAACAACAACTATAAAAACAAAGCAAACAAAACCCTTCTAAAAAGAATTAAACTTTTAGAAAGGATAAAACAAAAAACGAAAAAACAATCGGAACTTTATAAAACTCTCATAATAAATAAACCAGCTTTATTTTTCGTGTTACATCCAGAAAAATAAATATTTGTGAAGCCGCTTCATAGTAAAATACGAAACTGCGGTTTCACTACAAACTATGAATGAAAAAGTATAAAGGTTTCTTGCTGTTCTATTGATTGGAACAACAAGCACTTTGTCCGAAGTTTTAGGCATTTTTTAGTATTTATTGTAAATCCAGTTTAACTATTAAACATTTTTCTTTTATGATTCCACAATTTAATTATATCTTACTTTTTATTATGTAGAAATTTTTGGAAAGTTATTCTACACTTTTTTTTACCTTTTGTTTTATTTTATATTTATTTATTTTTGTTACTTATCGGCGGGGGTAAGTCAAGTTTGTCAAAGTGTAACCTACTATTGCGATGATTCTTCGTCTTTGTCCTTTGCCAAAGATAACGAGACGGTGGAACTCTTCAGAGTACAACAACTATCAAGTCAATATATCAGAAGCCTGGCATACTGCCAGGTTGTTACCGTTTTGGCATATTTATAGGAAAATGTCGGCTAATTATGGTAACACTGTTGGGATTTGAAAACGAAAGAATCTGTTAATAATTCGTTTCCAAATATGATATTTTCAATATTAATCCACAAACACCGTAAAAAGAAGTGTTTGAAAATAAATTTATGGTATATTTTACAAGGATTTGTAGCAATACATGTTTTGAACAATTATTCTGTATACTATATATATATATTGAACAATATATATATAGAGAGAGATATATACATTTTGAACAATAAAATATACATATATGTATATATATATATATATTATACATATACATTATTATATATATATATATTATACATAGATATATATATTATCATATATACATATTTATATTATATATACATATATATATTATATATATATATATATATGTTATATATTATATATATGTTATATATAATATATATATGTTATATATTACATATATACATATTATATAATATAATATACATATATGTTATATATATTATATATTATATACATATATATCATATATATATAAACATTATATGGACATAAATATTTATATATACATATGAATATGTATATATATTATATATATACATATATAATACATATAAATGTATATATATATATATATATATACATATATATAATACATATATAAATTATATATACATATATTATACATATATATACATATATATAGGTTTATGTTTATTTTGTTTTACAGCATATCAACCTCAATGGGTTATTTAATGCCAGCAAAATTTTTAGAATAGTTTCATATGAATAGAATATGTATTCTTTGTAACAAATCAGTTTGTAGATCAGGTTTCATTGATATATTTTTGTAAAGAGGCATTTTGTAGACACACACACACACACACACACACACACATATATATATATATATATATATATATATATATATATATATATATATATATATATATATATATATAAATGGTACTTTGTTTGGAAAAACCTCGGATAGGTCAACTTGCAGTAGAACAAATCAGTACCCGAGGCCAGCATTATCCTGAAGATCCGTTTAGGTGAAACCCAGGTAGGTCTGCCTGGCTCCCCTTAGGATTATCTTATATATATATATATATATATATATATATATATATATATATATATATATATATATATATATATATATATATATAGTTTGATAGCTTATTTCTTTCTTGTATTTGTTTTTTTATTGTATTTTATTAAAATAAAACCCTGAAAAAAATACTATAATTGGTAAAAATTTTGTGGGAGCCAAAGATGAAACACATCAGTAAAGAAAAGTTTTCTTTTTGTCTTTATTCATGTATATACAGGGTTATTCAAAAAGAATGAACTGATCTGATTATGCAATATTTTAATAAGGAAAATCAATAAAAAAAAACTCCAGCCAAGTCACAAGTATTCTACCCACAATCAACTTTTATTTCCTGTCTTACAAGTGTTCAATGTGGCCACCACCTGAAGTATGACCAACATCAATGCAATAGGAGAATTTCTCCCAGATGCCTATCAGCATATCACAATCCACTTAGTTGATCACTGTTGTTATTCGATGTTTAAGGTCATCGAATGGCTAGTGGTGGAACATAAATGTGATCTTTTATATATCCCTACAAGAAAAAATCTGGGGATCTTGCAGGCCAAGCACAGAGAGCAAGATCTTGATAAGTGCCTGAATGAGGCGGAGACTGTAAGGTTTCAAATGTAGATGTCTTCTTAGCACACACCAGATAGTGGATTGAGAGATCGCAAGCTCATGGCTAATTTGTGTATTTCCGTGGACTCCCCTCAAATGCAGCATCAATTCTCGCCACTTGTTCCTCTGAAAATCGTGGTTGTCCTGAACTTTTTTCTTTACACAGACACCTACTCTCTTGAAGCTGTTTAAACCACCGTCAAATGTTCTTAGGAAAGAGCAGAGACTAATGTTGAACAGCCTTTGAAAAGCACACCACACCATGACAACCATATTTGTTTTCATGAATGCAGAATGCCTTTTGCTAAGGACTTTTGCTATTCCAGGGGTAAACAAAGAACTGAATATTGCCAAAGATACAATGTAACTACAGCAGCCCTGTGGCAGCCATTCAAAACTTAGAAAACTCCTTTTTCAAATGGTCACTGAGTCATTCCATGACAATGCTTGAGAACTGAAGCAATGCATCATGAAATCGGTTCATTCTTTTTGAATAACCCTGTATATATATATATAAAATATATATATATATATATATATATATATATATATATATATATATATAGAAAAGGCTCAAACACTAATATTCCATAGAATAAAATTAGACAAATTGGATAAATTAGTCCTTACAGGTGATTTCAATGCTCGTGTTGGCAATGATTATCATTCTTGGAAGGGCGTTTTAGGTCGCCATGGTATTGGTCATGTGAATTCTAATGGATTATGACTTCTCACTATCTGCAAGAAATTTGACCTTAGTATCACTAATACCTTCTACCAGCAACCCAACTGTCATAATACCACGTGGATGCATCCTCGTTCGAAAGACTGGCATCTGATTGACTACGTCATCACCAAAAGACGGGACATAAAAGATTTTAAGATAACATGTTCATTCCACACAACATGCTATCTGTCAGATCACACTCTACTTTGGAGTAAAACTACACTGCATCTGCAAAAGCGAAGGATTATAAAATCTAAAGTGCCCAAGCGCATTAACGTACTGCCTCTTAAATTGACTGAAACAAAAATTGAGCTCTCTAACAAACTTGATGCTGCACTCGATTCTGTAAATATTACCAATGATATCGAATCATCTTGGAAAGCTCTGCATGATACAACATATTCTACATCCGTGGAGGTTCCCGGCCTGTCATATCATAAACCTCAAGACTGGTTTGATGACAATAATACAGAAGTTCAGCAGCTTATAGATCAAATGCACTCTTCTCATAAAGCATGGATTGAGGACAAGAACTCGTCCAATAAGAAGATCGCTTACAAGAAGTGCAAAAGTCAGGTTCAGTGAGCTCTCAGGGCCATGAAAGAGGATTGGTGGTCTGAAAAGGCCACTGAACTCCAATAAGCTTCAGATAGAAAGGATCTAAAGGCTTTCTATGCTGGTCTCAAGAGCATTTTCGGTCCTCAGAAAAGTGGTGTCGCTCCTATCTCCACAGCAGATGGTGAAACTCTCTTGATGAATAAGTCAGACATTTTAAATCACTGGAAAGAGCATTTTGAAACTGTGTTAAACACCACTTCAGTTACTGATGAGGAAGCCATCACATCAATTGAGCAAAATCCTGAAATTCTGGAGTTGTCTTTTGAACCTACTTATCAAGAGGTAATTGACTCCATCAAGCAAATCTCATCTGGAAAATCACCTACTCCTAAGGATCCTATTCCACCCGAAGTGTATAAGCATAGTGGCCAAAAGTTGGTAAAAAAGTTACATCTCTTTTTTGTGGAGATATGGAAGGCAGGCTGTGTCTCACAGGATTATAAAGATGCCTCTATCAAACACCTCTACAAAAACAAGTGTTCCAGGTGTGTCTGTGATAATCATTGGGGGATATCACTACTTTCAATTGCAAGCAAAATCCTAGCAAGACTGATTCTAGACAGAATCATTATACACCTCGTTGACGACATCTATTCTGAATTGCAGTGTGGTTTTCAGTCGGGTCGGGGGAACCCTTGACATGATATTTTCTCTTCGTCAAGTTGCAGAGAAGGTTCACAAGAAAAACCAGGAGTTATACATGATGTTTGTGGACTTGATGAAGGCCTTTGACACTGTGAATTGAGAGGCTCTTTGGCAAGTCTTGAGGAAACTTGGCATCCCTGAAAACATGCTAAAGGTCATCATCTCCTTTCATGAAGGAATGAAAGCTAATATCGTGTCTGATGGTATGATGTCGGAATCGAGACTTTTATCATACAGTCTCAGTTACGGTGGACTGGTCATGTCTTGAGAATGTCTGATGACAGGATACCCAAGATCCTAATGTACAGCCAAATAGATCAGGGCTACAGGAATGTAGGATGCCCATGGCTAAGATACAAAGACAAGCTGAAAAGCAACTTGTCTGCTGTCAATATGCCACATAACACACTTGAGCGCCTTAGACATGGAGCG